CCAATTATTTTCAAGTTTATTAAATTGCATTATTAAATTGCATTGTATTAATTTCATGTGTGATAGACCCTTGCTATTGCACACTATTACTACAGTGACTCGTGCACTTGCGAGGACATATATTAAAATTGTCCATAACCACTCATAGACTCAAGCTCAACATTAGAACACAAACTGAACCTAAAGAAGAATGAACTGATTGTGTAAGTCATAGGACCAATAAGAACAAGGCCATGTATATCTCTAGCTATGGTCCTCTTCGGCCTTGACACGTTCTGCACCATTCCACCGGGATCAAAAGGGAATTCACTGCACCCTTGCATTCTAGAATCGAAGTGATGGGAGGGAGCGCAGTGCTGAAGCAAAGCTTGCCCGGAGCTTCGATGAGAACCGCAGAATAAGCAAGTCAATTCTGGGTTCACTATGTTATTTTCAGCACGTGGATATAGAAGGCGTGGTGCATGAATTGGGTTATCATGGACACCACAATACGCAATTACCCGATCTGAGCACCCTACCAAAGGAACTTCTCAAAGGCAATGACGATCTGGAAGCATGAAGCTGAATGATTCTTGTGCCTTTATATTATTATCCATTGGCACATTATCTCCCATAACTATACACTGAGAACCAATCTGTATACCACTTGAAAGGGAGGAATCATATACGGGGGATTCCTCCCCAAAAGAGACTCCTGGTTCTTGTAATAGCCCTGTATCACGCAGTGCTCAACCATCATCAAGAATAGCCTGATATTGTCTCTTGGTAATCAAGTCAACTAAAGAAAATGGAGGATCGCCACCCTCAGATCTCTTGAGTTGGAAAAAAGGATTCAGAGTTCAAGTGGCTTGCAATTGCTTTCTCAACGTTTGGATTCGTCGCGTCTGAATCGCCGGCAAAGATCGCCGCTCCTGAATCGTCGGCGAAGATCGTCACTCCTGGATTACCGGCAAAATCCCCTAAATCTTCATTCGGAACCAGGGGAGCCGATGGGTGGAGTCCAATCGCCTACAATATCTCATCTCTCTAGCTGGATATCCTAGACTCCATCTGGGCCATGATTCTCTCCACCAAATTAATCTTCCATAGCCGGAAATGGCTTATCAATTTTGGCGCTTGCTAGACTTCTAATGAGCTTCCATGGTGAAGGGATATAGACTTGATGGTTGAAGGAAGATAGGGCTCTGATACCACTTGTAATGGTCCTGGGAATTTACAGTAAAGAGCAAAGGAAAATGCAGAACCCCTTAGGATTATTCCTAGTATGTGGATGACCATGCATAGGTTTCATTATACATTTTCTCCCCTTTTCCCAATGTGTTAATGTGGATTGCATGTCAGAAACTGTCTTCATGCGATAGCCTCCGGGCTATGAAGACCCTGTTCACCCTGATTATGTGTGTCACCTCTAGCGATCTGTGGAGAGCTCAAGATGGAATTCTTACGTACATGTGAGGGGGTAGGGATGAAGAAACTGCAAAGGAATAAGGAAGGAAGAGAAAACAGAGAAAGTAGAATAGAGTTTTCAATATCAAGATTTACATACCTCCATACAATCTATTCCTGCTATTTAAATCTAAGGATCTAAGACTCCGAATAACCCATAACCAACAAAACAGAAAGTAGCAAAATATATTTCTTCTTCCACTTCTTGCTTTTACTTCCATTTTCTTGGGGTGTTACAGTCTCGCCGTCGCCGAGTAAGGTCAACCAGTCGCCCACTATGCTGAAGGATGAATGATTAATGGGAGTTTGAGGGGAATTGAAACTGTGAGATGGTGGATTGGTAGTGTTGAAACATAGAGACAGTACGTGATAGAGGGTTGAAGAAGAAAAGTGAGGAATAAAGAGAATAAAAGCTATGCCAGGAATCGATTCCTTTAAATTTACCGTTCACGCCATGTGTTTCCAAAACAGATAACATATTTTCATTTTGTTTCTGATTCTCTATTTTTTTTTTTTAGAATTATTCTCTACTTTGAAAATAAGAAATAGCATTAGTAAACGGGTTCTTGTTTCCAAATTTTCAAAATTTTTGAAAATTTCCTGTTAGTATATTGTTTGTTTATAATCCAAATTTTGGTCTCCAATGTTTTAGCATTAATTACCTTCAATAGTAGAGTTCAGGTACAACTATAAAACACGTCAGTTGATATCAAATACAAACACTAGAAATTAAAGATATTATCATATTACTGTTGGAAAATAGCTTAAAATGGCATAAAATGGCATATTAAGTGGCTATTTTGTGGTACAATTATCAGTGGGGTCCACTTCCGATTTGGGCTGGGTCAAAGTGGGTTCGGGTTCTTCGTGGTGAGACGAAGAGATTGATATATTGTACGCTCAAAACGGATAATGGGTGAATGAGATATTGATTCTCAAAGTAGACCCATTTGAGTTGGAAAATGAAGGGAAAATGTGAGCTTTTGTCCCACATTGGTTTGGGAAGAGAATTTGCCCCACTATTTATACATGAGCTCTTTTTAAGCTTATTGAATTGTATAACATAGAAGCTCTCTCTCGCGCGTAGGGGGGTGCAAATCAAATCCCAAAAATGAGATCGAAAAAGCTTGGATCAAGCCTAATCTCGTGTGCGCAATTTTCCTATCCAATTTAGCCACGAAATAATCCGAAAGTTAGTTGGTGAAATGGTTTCACTAATTCGAGGTGAAACAGTGAGAAATGGATTCACTGTAATGCAACTTTCGTGGTGTGAAATGAAACAATGTTTCTTGTTTCGTGTGAAATTTCATGAAACAATTGTTTCGTGGGCCACTTGGGCCACCACGAAACTTGATCATATGTTTCGTGTAGTAGGCCGAAAGTAGTGGTTTCGGCCTGATGGCCGAAACTACTACTTAGGCAGAAAGTTTGGCCTGAAGCTCTTGTTTGTGACTGTTGGGATTTAATTCAGCTGTTATGGGATTAATTCTTTGAGTTAATTTCAATTTTAATTTTTGAATTAACACCCATGTTAATGGTTGCCGTTACAAGAGTTGTAGGGATGCCCTTAAATGCCATAATAAAGGTTATTGACTCCTCATTCCCTATATAAGAAGTGGTAGAGTGCAGCAGAATTTTTCTAAGGAAAAAGTAACAACAACACACAAGGAAAATTTTTTTCCAAGCCTCAAAATACTTCTGCTTCTACTCCATTCTTGAAGCTGTGGTTTGCCCGTGCTCTTGTTCGCCAGGTTCGTTCGTTTGGGTGCTCAAACGTCGAACCGTTGTACGTTTTATCCTGGGAAGCCTAGGCCACAACGCTCCTAGCACTTTTGGGAGGTGGCAAATAAGGTTTTAAGGAAAGAAAGGCACTCGCCTAACTCGTACATTTCCTTCTTCTTCTCATTCTTTCTTGTTTTAGGATTATGCTCTAGGCAAAAATCCGTTCTTTCTTGTTGATTTGGAGTTATAATCTGAGGATTATAAGTTCCTTTTGGTTGATATATATTGTTATATCTTTCTCGTAGATATATACGTATATATAACCTTTGGATCCGTTTTATATATATTTGTGTGTATATATATATTTCGGATATATATATCCAATAATATTTTATATATATTTCGTGTGTATATGTATAAATATTATTTTAAGGGATATTAAATCGATTGTGGTTCATTATCTCCAACAATTACAAATTTCAAACATCATGGCACCTCTTTAAATTCTTGCCCGTGACATCTCTCCTTTGAAAACAAGCAGTGCTATCAAAGCTTGATACGTGCGGAAATTCTAGAAAGAAGAGGCAGTGAATCAATCAAAGTGTAAATAGTGTGTTTTCGATGATCCAGATTCAAGAGGTATGCATGGTAATGGTTTCTTCTTTTCTGTTATTTTTTTCATTCGTATAAACATAGAATACTGTGAAAATTCTTAATGATTGAGAGTATTAGTAGATGTTCATGGTCCTAATGTGCTTTATAATCAAGACAAGAAAAATGATCTAACCTCTAAGTTGGAATCCCAAGAAGAAGATGAAGACTTTGTTGAGGTGCAATTTCAATCAAACTTATTAGTGTTTGTTTGTTTTTTTTTTTTCTATTTTTTTACATTTTGGTAATTCTTATTGTTTTGTATTTCTATTTGTCATTACTGCAGGAATTTTATTCTTGAGAAAAGGCTGAAGCGGTGAAAGTACATACCTGCTTTGTGTTTAAATTAGAACAAAGGGCTTCCCTTAATACTTTAAGATAGTATTCACATTATCTGTATAAAGTAGATTGTATGAGTTGAACCTTTAATCAAATTATAATTTCAAAAGGATATTATAATTGGTAATATCCTTAAGTTGTAAAACGTAATTTAAATATGACTATATGAGCACATATGAATAAAATGCTTTGAGATTAAATAATGACAATGAATGATAATTGTGACAATAATGAATGATAATTGTGATTACAGTTTATTGCAAGTGCATATATCAACTAGAAAATTGTGTGTTCAAAACTAAAAAAATTTTAGCCTTCCAAGAAAATATGCAAAGCCACATCTATTTAAAAATGTTGATTCAATTTTTATACTTCTGATCTTAGAGCTCAAATTGCACTTTCAAATATTATAAAAATGTTGATTCAATTTTTATACTTATGTTTCACTAAAAGATGAATTCTAAAAATAAGAGTTAATATTTCTCAAAAAAAAAAAAGGAGTTAATAGACAAAATGGTACTCCGACAATTAGCTAATACTCGATTTTGTCCCGAAGAATTGAACGTACTCAATTTAGTCCTTTTAGTTTTCAATTCACACCCAATATAATCCCCCGTTACAATTGCCGTCAAACGACCGTTATTTTGAGGGCATAACAGTCATTTTGTTGAACCAAACCCCGTTCTTCCTCTAGTCTCTATCAGTCGCCACTCCACTCCAGCTTGAAGTGTATGAACACAAAACCACCATTGCTAGGGTTCTCTAAGTGCAATCGCAAACTGTATAAGTGAATTGACTCAATCAATGCATAATTTGGACTCGAAGCACAAAGATTAGCAGAACGATTAGCTAGGGTTGGCCGATTTTGCTTCGAGAATGGGCTATAGCAAAAGGCTTGGAAGCGGTAAAATCCCTATTAATGGTATGTGATTCTTGACATTGCTTTTTGATTGTTCCACTTTTTTATGACCAAAAGTCAGTTTAAATTCCTTTATTGATTGCTTTAATGTATATATAATAGTCGAATGGCAGTGTAGGGTCCATGGTTTGTAGTTTCCTTTATTGATTGTTCTAGGGTCCATGGTATGTAGTTTCCTTTAGTTGAATTCTGGTGGTAATGGTAGGGATCATATCTTCGTTTAATACCTTGAACTGCTGCTATATAAACACCGCCATGTGCCTTTATTATTGGTGCTAGGGACTATCTATATTTAATTGTTGTTGGGGATGAGAACCATGTATATTTAATTGTTGTTGGGGATGAGACCATGTATATTTAAACACTGCCACTTCGAATGCTATATAAACACTACCACTGCTATATGAAGCTTTGTTACTGTCAGTTTGTTTATTTATTTTTTGTTGTTTAAATACTGAAATCAGGAGAAGAAAATGAAGTGTTTACAGTTAAGATTAGACATGGGGGAAAGTTAAGTCATTGTGAACCTACTAGCTATGTGGGAGGGTACACAGATTACTTTAACAATGTTGAAGTATATGAATGGAGTTTTATGACTGTTAAGGATCTACTAAATGAATTAGGGTATAACATTGAGGATTGCAGTATACATGCATTGGTTGGGGATAAGTTGACTAATAAGGTCATTTTAGATTTAGAGGTTTGGGATTTAATAGATTTTGCAGATAAGGCTAGAGAAGTTGAGTTATGGGTTGGTTTGGGTGAATTGGATGCAGTAAGTGAAGATGAGGTTAGTAAGGATGTGTTGTATGATTGTAATATTGATTACAATGAAGAAGGTGATGACATTGAATTTGCCAAATCAATTGATCCAACTGTGGAGTATGATGGTGTATTAGCAAGTTCTAAAGGTGTGGCTAAAGAACAAGTTGCCACAGAAGAAGGGGTTCAATATTCTGATGAAGGATCACCATATGCTAGTGATGAAGAAGGTGTACCAAAGAAATGGCCACATATGGAATGCCCTGAATTTAGTATTTGATTAAAGTTTGCTTCTAAAGTTGATTTTAAATAGGCCATACTACATTATGCTTTTAAGGCTGTGAATGATTTAAAATTCTCCAAAAATGATAAGGTTAGGTATGTGGTGAACTGCAAACAAGCTGAATGCCCATGGACAATCACTCTTAGGCTATACCCAAATTCTAATACTTGGAGGGTTACAACCTTTAATGATTCCCACGTTGAGTGTCCTTGGGTAAAAGAAAACAAAGTGGTAAAGTCAAGTGTGTTGGCAAAAAGGTGGAAGAATGAAGTAAAAGGCATTCTACATAGACAACAAAGAAGTTTAGGGACAAAATTTGAAGTGATGAACATTTTACTGTAACTAAGAGGCAAGCATTAAAGGCCATGAAGCTTGCTAGGGATGCAATTAAAGGGGACCTTGAATATTATTTGAACAAGTTTTGGGGCTACTACCTTGAGATACAAAGAAGTAACCGAAACACAACTTCTATAGTCAAATTGACTAATGTGGTTGAAGAAGAAGGAAAGAAGAGGTTTCAGAGGTGGTATGTATGTTGGGATGCATACAAAGAGGGTTTTAAGCATTGTAGGAAGATTATAGGAGTTGATGGCTGCCATCTTAGGGCCAAGTATGGGGGACAGTTGCTCACTGCCAAAATATTAGACCCTAATGATGGAATTTTTCCCATTGCTTATGCAATTGTTGAGGGAGAAAATAAATACTCTTGGGTTTGGTTCTTGCAATTACTTAAACATGACTTGAGTATTACTGAAGTTGGTGAGGATTACTTGACTTTTGTTTTTGACAAACAAAAAGTCTTAATTCCTACATTTCAAGTGGTTTTCCCAAATTGCAGTCATAGATTTTGTGTTAGACACTTGTGTGCAAATATAAAGTTGGCTGGTTTTCAAGGAAAAGCTATTAAAGATACAGCGTGGAGTGCTACTAGGGCTACAACTGTCAATTAGTTTACTACAACAATGAGAAACCTAAAAAAAAGGGATATTGTTGCATTTGAATGGCTAACAGACAAACACCCTACTGAGTGGTCAAGATCACACTTCAATGAGCATGCTTTGTGTGATATGCTGGTGAATAATGTATCTGAATGCTTTAATGCAATGATATTAGATGCAAGGAACAATCCTCTACTAAACTGTCTTGAGACATTGAGGGAAATTGTAATGAAAGTATTGTTTGAGAAAAGTGAAGAAGCAAGTGGAAAGGCCCAATTTACCCCAATATATTTAGAAAGTTAGCTGCCATTGAGAAATGTGCTAGAGGATATATGCCTATTCAGTGTGACTTGATGTTATTTGAAGTGAATGGGATGTATACAGATGAACATGAGAAAGTAGATTTGGGAAGGAGAATGTGTTCTCGCAGGAAGTGGGATCTCACTGGAATTCCCTACAAACATGTTGTTGCTGCCATATGGATGAAAAAACATAGCCCCATTGAATATGTGAATGTGTGTTACACAAAGAAAACATACTTGGCAGTGTATGGAAGATGCATTAATCCTATGGCCGGTCCCAATGATGGCCTGCAACAGAAAGAGTGGCACCGCTACCACCTCTATACATTGTCAGGGCTAGAAGGCCAAAAAAACTAAGAAAGAAGGGAGCAGATGAGCTTAAACAAAAAAAAAAAAAAAAGAAAAAAAAAGTCAACAGTTGCAAATAGATTTACAGTAGATGTGGTCCATCTTTCAAGGACATATATCAGTTTGCATTGCACCAAGTGTAGGCAAAAAGACCATAACAGTAGAGAGTTTCCTTTGAATGGCAATTAGGTAATGCTCACCTCCATACTATGACTATATAATTATTGTTATCCATCATCGCATGCTATCTAATTATTGATATCCATCATCACCGCCTGCAACAACTCAGCCTATTCCAGAAGATCACCCTACAAATGAGGTGCTTGTAGCTTGGGTTTTTGTTACAGATTGTTTAAAACTCTGAGATTGTAGTTATTTGATATGCTTGTTACAGGTTGATGTAGGAGATGAGGTGTGGCATAACCTAAATGTGTCATTTTTTCCAGAAAATCCAGCACATGAGGTACTTTTAATCCAACATTCTAACTAGTTTTAAACTTTAATGTGCTTGTAGTGGTTTAATGTGCTTGTTGCAGGTTCAAGTAGGACATGAGGTGGTGAATAATCAAGAACTGCCAATGATACAACCTCCCCCCTACTTCTAAAAAATAGAAGACTCGTGAGTTAAGAAAGCAAGTGAAGACAAAGGCCTCAAAGAAAATACAGAACAAGGTCTACCATTGGTTTAAGTCCAAATTTAAAGGAAATTTCAGTGAACCAATTGAACTTGAATGAAATGTGGTTAAACTAAACTGTTGTGATGGTTTGTTTTGGTATTTTGTTGCCAATGGTGGGAATGGTTTGTTTTTTGTATTGTTAGTTCCAATTTTTTTTAAAAGTCTTTCAATCATAATATAAAAACATTATTGCTGCAGATTTCATTGGTTCAAAGATGTATGGAATCATAAATTTGCATATCAAATCTGTGGTTGTACTTTTGTCTTCTGGGTGATAGGGATTATAGTATAACTAAAATTTGTTAAAAAAATAAAGAAAATAAAACAAAATTATTTTGACTCTAACCTTAGTGGATGTTTTCCTACTATCATTTTGAATTTTTAGTAGGACAAAGGACCAAAATGCATTCAAGCATCACTATTAATAAGAGAAAGAAACACATAAGAAACTTAGAGTGAGAAATATGAGTAGTTTAGCAATCACAATAATGCAATTTAAAATGATTAAGTGATATTTTCCTTGATAAGTAATATTTGTCAAGGTATCATGTAAATATACTTGATATTGGAAAGTGGTTGCTGTAATTTGGGGCAAACAAATAATACCCGGAGTATTCAGGTTGTCGAACCACAGAGAGGTGGGGTACTAATCACTAGCTACTAGGTTACTCATATGAAACTAGTCCGAACAAAACTTGAAGGTTGATTGATTGCATAAAATAACAAGCAGAATAAAATAAGTAGCAAGGTTTTGTAGACAATAGAGCAAAATAGGATTCTTGGGGTCACAATGTTTAATCACCTAGTGCCAATTAACGTTTGTAATATTTGGTTTGGAATTAAGATTTGTATGGGAATGCAAAGTGGAATCGAATTACTCCCGTAATCTCTATTCCTAGTGAATTTCCACTCCCATGGCTTAAACACCCAATAAGATCAAAGATCAGCATTCAATTATTCCTAATTACTACCATCTCCCGATGAGCAATAATCTAGAATAAACTTCCCCTAATAAGTTCCCCTTTCCCAAGGACCAACCATTAGGTGCAATCGTGTGTGCCCTAATTTATGCTCCAACTCCCATTGGTGACACAAACATGACTGTGAAGCTAGTAATTTAGGCCTTTAACTACCAACAACAACAGATTAAAACAAGATTACAACACAAATCATAAAACCAAACATAAATATATTAAGAAATTAACGAACTAGGCACATAGGTTTATAAACAAATTCACCCAAAAATCCTTAAAGAATTTAGCCGAGCATGGCTAAATTATACATAGCAAATATGAATAAAGGATTACAAATCATCAAAAGAGTACAAGAATTAACCAAGCGATTCTCCCAAATCTCCTTGGCTTCCTCCTTGCTTCCAAAGACAACTTGAGCCTCTTGATTTCTCTATTTCTTGTCTACAAAGAACTCTAAAAATCTCTCGGTAATCTCCTAGGGTTGAGGAAGGAGGGATTTTATAGTGGGTACAAAGTTGAGATGAAATAGGAATCTTGTACAAAATTGGACTCAAATTATAATTCCTATATTTAAATAAAGAAATTGCCGTATTTAATTTAAAATTGAAGTTGGAATTGGAATTCAAAATTGAAGTTGAATTGGGATTTGGAATTGAAGTTGAATTGCTGAAGCCAACGCCCTTTTTAATTCCTTTGATTTCAGCGCCTTCGGAAGAATTGTTGCGGCTCTCGTTCGACGCGTCGAATTGAGGCTCGACGCGTCGAGCCTCTTTGGCTCAATTTTCTGATGCTACTGGAAATTTTCGACGCGTCGAGTCCTCTGGGGCCCGAACTTGTCCAAAATTGCTCCAAACTCATCCTTGAACTTCCCTTGCTCATAGAATTGACCTACAATGGTTCAAAACACTAACAAACACCGTAAAACATTCAAAACAAGTGTGAACCATAATTAAATGATAATAGCAATGAAAACATGTATTAAATAAGCAAAATTAAAGAACTTAAATACTAAGATGATTCAAAATAACTATAAAAACAAGCAAAGATGTGATAACATCACCCCCTCACACTTAAGCTTTTGCTTGTCCTCAAGCAAAATCAAGGAATAAAATCACAAGTTAAAACATACAAATTACTCATGCTCTCTCTTGCACAACCTTTCAAACCACCAACCAACTTGCTACAAAACAACAAGCTTCAAGAATCAAATTAGTTTGGCACATAAGAGACCCATTTCCAAGCCAATAACCAAGCACCAAGAATTTAAAGTATGTGAGGATCAAGTGTGAACAAATACTCAGTTGAGATTATGCAAGACACGGCTCATGAATGAGATTCCATAGGCTTGCCCTTCATACTCCCCTAGATCAAATCTAAGAATTCATGCTAAGATCAAATAGGACTTTATTAAGCTTGTAATGGGGCTACGGGTGACAGCTAACAAAGAAGTGGTATGGAAAAATTAATCAAAAAGAGAGAATGTCACAATTTATCTAAACTTTTCAAAATTTGGAAGAGATGAGATAATCATAATTCCAAGGAGCAAATTTCTTTTAAGAACTTAGCAACTCTTTGGTAAAGTGGGGATCCAAACTCAAAAACTTTCAATCTTTTTTTTTTTCTCATTCTTTTCTTTGTCTTTGGACTTCTTTTGGATATAGCAAGATAATTTTAATCCAAACTTTCATGACCTCCACACTTGAAGATTTGTAACACTAGCTGCTTTTTTTTCGTAGCACAACTCCATAAAACTCTTCT